TCGCGGATGGACTGTTCATAGTCATCATCATCATCATCATCGAGTTCTTCACCAGCTGCTACCGGAGTCGTCTTTCGTTTGGAACGCTTCTTCTTTTTCGTCTTCTTCAGAGACTTCGTTGGACCGTCGACGTACGTACCAACTCCATCATCTGATTCGGACATTTCATCACCACTTTCACCATCAAGATAGATTGTCCTTGATGCATGGTTGTTGCCGTTGATACCCAACACTCTCATCACTAACTCGGCCTCGTAGTCTGACGATGGCCGGTAGTCCTTGGTTCCAAGGTAGACATATGGGATGAGATCATGAACTTCCATCTTGATCTTGCCACCCTCGGAGTTGATCATGTAGGGTTCTCTACCGCTAGGCCAAACAAACGTATAGCCTTGCTCCATGCATCGTTTTCCCAATGACAAAACTGATGGGGTATCTTCCAACACATGAGCCCTTGCAGGATCATTGAACGTGTCGAAGTCCAGATCCACCATCGTGGTTGTTGATGTGATGCCATTTGCCGTGTGGAAATTAACTCGATCACTCTGGTAGGTGTCAATGTCCATCCTATCCACTCTCGTAGATGAGATAAGATCGTGACCACTGCCAGAGTCCATGATGAAACGTCGGTCCTTGAGCTCGATTGGCATAGTGATGCACATGACATTGTCTCGACGACCATATTGTCCTGGAACATGAGGGATCACTTCCTCATAGCATATCTCAGCTCTTGAGTTGTTCTCCAAGAAATCAATGTTGTTGATCTTGAGCTTGATATCATTCTTGGGTCCCAGGATGATGTGTACTTCATCAACATCGGAAAACTCACCATAGTCGTCCATCAATATGCCGATTGCACGTGCTCTTGTCATTCCCAACTTGGATCGTAATACCCATTGTTGGTCATCCATGATGTCTTTGGTAGTTCTGCACGTCAATGACTTCTTCTGAGCTCTGGACATGTTTCTCTTTGGTTTCCTGTTGGAACATTCCACAAAGTCAGGCTTCACATACACGATGGTTTCCATCTTGTCATTGAACTTGACATCCATCTTGTTCTTCTTCTCGATAGGCACTGCGTTCACGATGAAATCGTCATCGTACTCACGGACTAAAGCCGGAGTAGCTTTGGCGTCTGGCGTCTTTGTAGAAGGCGCCGCTCTCTTGCCTTTCATGCTTGGGTCATGTTTGAAGGTACACTTGTCACCTTTCTGACAATCGCCCTTTAACCAACCATAGCAATTTCGATCCTTCTTTCCACCAGGGGTCTGTGATCTTCTTGGAGTAGCCGATCTGCTGTTCTTGCCTTTGCCACCTTTGTCCTTCCTCTTGTCCCAATGATATTGGGAGTGACTGTATTGGCATTTGTCACCATGCTTGCAATTGCCCTTGTTGAAGTGGAAGTGACAGAAGGTCTTCGAAGTATCTCGTGTGGAAGGTGATCTCGATCGTTTGCCACCCTTGCCTTTCCCCTTGCCATGGCTCTTGGGATTGCCGGAAGGTAGAACAGGAGCTCCAGGTTTGCCTTTGGGTGCTGGAGCACTCGGCTTTCCACCCTTCCCATCTTTCGGCGTAGGCGCCGGAGCCGTCGGCTTCGGAGCTGGGGCAGAAGGCTTACCAAGATTGGTGTAGTCCGTGGCGAACTTGTCCCTGGCCGCGATATTGCGGTCTTCGCGTGCACGTGCTATGTGCCTCCTCATTATCTCCAAGAGTTCATCATATGATTTCTTCTTGTCATCATTGTCCCTACCTTTGAAGATCGTGAGGTCAACGTGCAACGCCTGGGAACCATCAATCTTCCTCAGCAGATGATCACGCAGGGTATTATCAGATGGAATGTCCTCAGCTTTCATGTTGGCGATGATCTCGATCCAAGCATGGAGGAACTTATCCATCTCTTTGTCACCACGATACTGTAACTTGTAGATGTGGCTGGCATTGAACAATACTTCATCTTTTGATGTTGTTCTGAAATGATCTAGCACCATTGCCAAAATCTCCCTGCCCATCAGGAAATTTCCTTCTTTTCCCAGAACTTGACTCCTCTGTCTAATCCGAACCTTGACCTCCGATGCTGTCTCGCCAGCGGAGTCTACCATGTTCTGCAAGGCTATGGACAACTTGGAGTCGATGGACTGGAAACGGAATTCTCCTGAATCAGCAAGTTCGGCATAGTCAGGACTGGGTAATAGAGCAGGAGATAGCCATCTTCTCCATGCAGCCGTGTCTGGATCACCTGATGCAACACATACGGCCTGCACGACATTGGAGCGCCAAACATCAAGGTCTTGACATTTTGGCCATGGTTTGACTGTGACCTTCTCGTGCTCCTTCCTGGAAATTCTGGTTACCCAATCCTTGCCATCTTGACCAGCATCACTGTTTGCAACACTAGCATCTTTGCCATCCTTCCGTTCCCAAAGTCCAGGAGGATTGTCAGGAACGGGCTCAAATTCAGGGGTTTTGTTGTCTTTCAAGGATTCTTGCCCTTCTTCAGCTTGTTCCAGCCAACTTTGGTACTCTTTCATCTCGTCATAGTTCTGTTGAGCTTGTTCTTCAGACCGACGAAGCTTCTCACGAAGTTCATCGATCTCACTGTTGGTCTGGTTCTTGATGGCATTGCTCATGCTAGGTGATGGTGGCGGAGGTAGAGCAGGATCATGATTCTTGGTCGCAGAGGATGCTTTGGGAGTACCCATAGGTGTTGAAATCGATACTGCAAACGATGGAGTTTTGCCATTAAGTGTAGTCGTCCTTGGAACTAGGGTCGTAGGAGGCACAGCTGATGGTGCAGCTGGTACTGTAGCTCTAGTCGATACTCTGCTCCATGATGCCGGCATTGTGTTCATTGTCAGTCTCGCATCATGAAGTGATTGTTTCAACGAATCATTCTTTCTGATCACGTGGTCACGTTCAGAGCATGCCGAATGATAGAGCTTCTTGTACCTGTCTGCCTCCGCTTCTTCGGCATCGATGAGTGCCTCAGTGAGTTTCGGGTTGCTTTCAACTGCTTCTTGGAGACGACTAATCTCCATGTTGGCCTTGTGAAGCTCTTCACGCAGTTCTTCATTCACCTTGGCATTGTCTTCATCACCACCAGCATGAAATCGAGATCCAAGAAGTTCAGCAACTCGTGTTCTCAACTGGTTGGTGGATTCAATCAAAGCCATGTTCTCATCCATGAGTTCGTCCTTGACGCGCTCAATGGTGATCTCCCTGTCCTTGAATGCACTGAGTTCGTCATGTTTGAACTGGCGGAACTCGCTCTTCTCATCAATGAACCGATTTGTGTACCATTCTCTTGTAGCACTCTCGTTCTCATTCAGTCTCATGAGGCTTCTGATCTCCACCTCGAGTTCGTTGTGCTTCCGGTTATACTCTTCCTCTCTTTCCTGAATCATGTTCCTCATGTCGCGAACCTTCACAATGTGATCACGATTCGCATCATCCCTGATAGCAATGAGGTTGTCCTTGTGCGACAAACTGGCAGTCAGTTCGTCAATAGTTGATTGCATCTCTACCAGTTGTTCATCACGTACTGCAACAGCTTGTTGGCCATATTCCATGATCATTTCATTGTTGTCAGCCATCACAAGTGATTGCTCTGATAGTTTCAGTTTCAACTGTTCCATTTCTTCCTTGATCACATTCTCCCTGTCTTGGACATATTGTGTACATGCTTCACGCAGTTCTAGCCCATCTTGACGAAAATGCATTGCCATAGCTTCGGATGTGTCATGTTGTTGGCGAATGAGTTGTGATGCGTTCTCAAGTTCAGTGAGATACTTCCCCTTCATCTCCATACTTTCCCGAACAATGTGTGCCGCACCTGCTTCAGCGAGATGACCACGCTTCTCCAGCTCGATGATTCTCATTGTTGAACCTTCGTCCATGAGGTGCGCCTCAGCCAGTGCGATCGTTTGCTCTTCAAGTACATGTTGTGCATCAATGAGGGAAACTCTCATGAATTCCATCTCGGAGTTGACATGTTGTTGATATTCTTCATGATGTTGATTTGTATAGATCTCCATGTTGTTAATCATCTGATCACGGTGTGCAAGAACATCTTGATAAAGACTTAGTCTGTTTTCCAGTTCAGTCCTTGCCCGTTCGCTCCTCTCCAGCTTCTCGGTGTTGTGTTGTAGTTGACGTCGAAGACGTGCCTCGCTCTCATTCCTCGTAGCGCTGGTCGATGGCTTGCGTTTGGATGAGGTGGTAGATTTACCTGCCTCATCCTCCCGCGTGGCCGCGCCCGACGGGCTTCGGCCACCGCCGTCTTCTGCAATGCGAGATCTTGCAGCGCGAGGTGATCTTGCCGATGTTGATCTTCTGGCACTTCCTCTTCGAACTACGTCAGCTTGATTGACCACTGTGAAGCTGCTTGTTGATGCTATACTTCCAGCAGCACGGTAGGACATCGTGCCGCCGCCACCGCTCTCTTGGGATCCAGGCGTGTCATTGATCGCCTGGGCCGGAGCAGCATTCGCTCCGAAGGAAAAGCTTGTGTCGTTGCTGCTCGACTGGTTCTTCTGCGACATCTTCTTGTTGTCAGTCCACCTCCGTTTGCTCCAAGCTTACGTCTTGTAGTAGGGCAGGAGGACCAGGATGCCGAAGGGGTTGAGGATAATGTGGGACCACCGTACGCCCAGTGATGAGCGTACGGCTGATAACCTGTGAATCACCTCGTCCTTGACAGTGACCTTGTAATCTATGTTGGAATGAACGTTGACCCCAATGGCGAACCGCGGCAGCGCGCACGCCGCTTTTCCTGGATGAGCGAGTGGCGTATTGAGCCACCAGTTGGTGACTTGAGCCGCATCGGCGGTGAGAGCGGAGCTTCAAAGTTGGTGCACATGAAAGGTGTCCCGTAGCCTATATGCCAATCACATATATCATATCATCCCATATGATATTCCTCAGTTATGACCAGAAATTGACTCACTTTCACCTACATGTCATGGCTTTCCTCAGGACAATGGTCGACCATCCAAAGCTCGGTCCTGCCAAACAAAGCCGCTGGCACTTGCCCATTTGCTGCAGCTTGGACGGCTTGTCCTGGCGCTTGTCCTGCCGCTTTGGCTGGGGATGGAGACTCAAAACATCTCCAACTTTAGAACTGCTAAATCTAATACAACTGGTACAACCGGGACAACTGGACGATTTTTCGACTAACTTGGATGGGATTCAACTCCATGATTGGTCATCTTTTCCAAACGTGACAGCGGTACACAAAACTGGGGTATGGTCGGACATCGAAACCCAAAATCTGTGGTCACCCCAGCCTTTTTGTTTTTTGTAGTTCTTTAATCGTATCTTACCTACTCTTGTGGGTTCATAATCACCTTTCTCTTTGTAAAACAACAGGTTTTGTTTGTCAACTCCCCATTTATTGATAGTTCAATTCCCATCTGTTGATGATGATAGCGTTTCCCTTTTTACCATTAATTGATGCTTAAATCCACAGTTTACCATTTATTGATGGTTGAATCAATTTGATTCCATTACTTGCTTGTTGATTCTCAAACTTTCCCATTTTTTGATGGTTGAATCCAGTTCGTTCTGAAAAATCCCGTGTTTCCCTATCCAGCTCCTGCGGGCATTGCTTGCATCGCCTGCATCGCATGGCGGCCGTCATAGCTTCTCGACATGCAGGGGGCTTGCAGCACCTGTTCAGACACCATTGGGTCCCCACAAAAATTGGGGGTTTGGCCACCTCAAAATTAAGGAAATCACCAGCAAAAACTGGGAACATGGCTAAAACATGTGGTTTTCCTCGCCAAGAATTTCGTTTTTGTTGCATGACCAGCCAAGATCTTGGGGATGACAATGACCAGAATGTTTGTCATGATCGCAACTGGGGTTGTATGCTTGCATATCAGGGATTGTCCGGGGATGGTCATAGAAGGATCTTTTTAGTTGCTCAACACAAACAATTCTTGTAGTAGCTGGACGAACATCATCATCATCATCATCATCATCATCATCATCATCATCATCATCATCATCATCATCATTGTCATCATTGTCATCAATCATCATCATTGTCATCGACATCATCATCCATTATCATCCATCATCATCCATCATCATCCATCATCATCCATCATCATCCATCATCATCATCATCATCATCATCCATCATCATCCATCATCATCCATCATCATCCATCATCATCCATCATCATCCATCATCATCCATCATCATCCATCATCATCCATCAGCATCCATCAGCATCCATCATCATCCATCATCATTCATCATCCATCATCATCCATCATCATCCATCATCATCCATCATCATCCATCATCATCCATCATCATCCATCATCATCCATCATCATCCATCATCATCCATCATCATCCATCATCATCCATCATCATCCATCATCATCCATCATCATCCATCATCATCCATCATCATCCATCATCATCATCATCATCCATCATCATCATCATCATCATCATCATCATCATATGCTATCCATCTATTGGTCATCTGCAATACCATCTCCAATTGCGCAACTGGGGGATATCTATCCCTATCAAAAGTTGGACATACCTCTTGATCCTAGCAAATTAAATCACCACATTTCTTGGGCTTCATTTCCATCCTCCATTTTCTCACTGGTGCTAACCGTAGGGAATTGAGCAATCCATAATAACTATGAATAATCATCCCATTCCCCCTTGCCATTCCCGCACCAATAATTTGTTGTTGCCCCAAATGCCAGATGTGTCTGGCAGGTCCTCCCCATGTGTCGCTTGGCTTGGCCTGGCCCGCCAAAACGGAGCCGCTGCTGGTGGGTGGAGCCTCAGGTCTGATTTCACAGTTCCTCCCCTCGATTTTTGCATTTTTTGTGCAGAAACTATGTCAAAATATGATAACATACCATAGAATCCCCATATCTGGCTGTTTTGATGCAGAAAACTACGATAAACTCCTGGATTTCGTGAATTCTCAAAGTTTGGACAAATGACCCTGCCATCTTTGAGGGACCGTATATTTATTGAACGCAATATCAAGAGCCAGAAATAACGTTGAGAATGGCAAGAAACGATGATACTCTCTGGTATTTTAAGAGTCCGCGATGAAAAATTGCCCATTTGGTTTGATGATTTATGCCTAGGATGTACTTACTTCCCACACGACTCATCACTGAGCACGGGACTCTCACGGCTGGCCTGAAAAAACAAGGAGTAACAAGGCAGCGAAGGTATGAGAATTGGCATGATGGGCATCCAGAAACTCATCAAGATAGAAATTGGTCGTTTGGACATAACCTTGGAGTTGGTGTCCTCGAGGACAACAAAACCACCCAACCAAGAGCTGACCATTGAACAATACAATTGCAAATTCCCATGTGCCGGGAAAATTCCACTTCATCCTTTCCCACTCTCTACTATGGCTTGGTTGCGCAGCACTTTAAACCACCCATTGGAAATCCACAACGTATATCCACAGTACCCAAATTGATCCCAGCCCATATCATCCAATCCCTGGCACAAATTCATCCCACCCGCTATCGTTGGAGACGAGACTGGCCACACTGTAGGATCCACCTCTGTCATCCGGACGATTCGAAAATTGCTGCCAAAGTTCTGTGAACAATTCTATGATAGTACTTATTGATGTGTATTGAAGAAGAAGAAAAAGAAGAAAAATGGTGTATGTCTTCAACATCCATGTGTAGCAATGAATTGTCTCTGCTTGATTCTGTCCACAGCCTGCAGAGATGCTCCCCAAATTCTCCCTTCACTCGACTGCACCTAGAGGAACGCTTTGCAAGCTCGTTCGGCCTCAGCACCCAAATTAGGGTTTACCTTGCCTAGCAGAGCAACAGGCCTTCATCTCACTGGATCTCTCTCCCTTTCTGTGTATAATAATTCTATCAACCTCTGAATGGCATTAACCTTCCTGAGCCAATGACTAGCAGCATCTTGTACTCTCAACCTCAGCTTGCTCGTAGCAAGTCATTGGTCACTTGGGTGAGCTCAGGAACTGGCCCTCCATTTAGAGGCAAAGCTGGAGAAAGCCTGCTGTAGCAGTCAGCATTGGATGCATGTCTGTGGCCACACATTCACACGTCCCGTCCTTGATGGTGTATAACCTGCTGGCGGGCATGGGCAAAAAATGTTATAGTATATATATATATTATATATATTATATTATATTATATTATATTATATATTATATATATTATACATATATATGTATATATATATCATCTTCAAGGTCTCGATGGTAGATGTGGGTATCGTAAATGGCTGCTTTTCCGGTGTTTCTTATCACTCTGGTGGGGTAAATCCACACCTTTCGGTGACACCGCAGTGCTTTTTCCGGTTCAAGTGCCCATTGTTCACTGGTGCATTCCTTTTCCTTCCATTTCATCCCTTCCTCATGGCATCAGATGGATTATCCAAGCAACACTGTGGCGAAGAATAGCCGGGCGCCAGTGCAAAGGGGGGCGAGGTGTGGCCTTGGGATGCCAATGGATTCAAGTGTCAACTCCAAACAGTCCAAACATGGTGACACCAATGGACTGTTTGAATGACAATTTGGTTCCGGTTATACTGGTTGTAGTCATTGGGAAAACTCCCCCCACCTAAAATTGAATGACAATTTGCTTCGTAATGGTTCTCAGTGCCAAAAATGCTGGGGCTTTTCCTCGTTCAATGCTGTTGGTTGAGCCACCCATCCCCGAACTGTGACGGGATCATCGTCCCAAATAGCTTCGATGTAAGCTACATTTACTGTATATACACTGGTATACTACAGTGTACACATATACCACCCCGAAAAGAAAAGCAAAACCCTACTAAAATAGTGATAAGTTGCTTTTCTACATGTTTGGGTGGTATTATGTGTATATAATTATATATATATATATGTATATACGTACACATTCTATCATACATCTTAGCCAGGGAAAGATTGCTGTGTTTAGGGATGAGGTTTCGACCACCTGAAAGGGAGCTGCCACTGGCCGTCCATGGGGGAGCCCCGATCGGCATGGTCACGCGGGCTGGGATCTGGTTAGATCGGTATACCCCAACAATGGCTATATGGCTATATTATAATGGGATATAATGGGGAAAATATGGGAAAATGATGACAATAATTGACAATAGTGATTAACCAGGGGATCTACAATGATATTTCAGACGAAGCCACATGTTGAGACCTTGGAACAGTTGGGAAGAAAGAATGAAGTCTGTGATCTTCAAACATCGCAAAATTGCATTCACCTGAAAACACCTTTCTGGAAAACAAAACGACCAAAAATGCAAGTGCAACGGACCTACTGAATGGCTGGGGGGTTGCTTGAACAGTTCCCTCCTGAAGCGCTCTTGAGTTGTCCCAGAGATGCAAAGGACAATCAGCAAATGATGCAGCGAATCGCGTTGATCGCTGTGTGTTTTGTTAGTTCGTGCAAGATCAAGTGCAGTTCTTCTCAAAACATTCTGTGGGTTACACTATTCATCAAGATCATTTCAACATGCAACAGCTGCAACATTCATTAAATGCGGCGCCAGCCATCCGCAAAAATCCTCCATCTTTTTAAGCCTCAGCCAGAGAGATCATCCTCCTCCATGGCTTTCTTGTCGTCAAGTTCTTTGATCGTTCCCTGCATGGGTGTGTCGCCTTTGCCTGTCTGAGGGATGGAGTATTGAACCTCAGATGCGGTGACACAAATGGCCCGTTGAAGCCACTAATCCCTTTTCCTCGTCCATTATTCAACCAGGAAAACGATGTACCAATCCAATTTCAAGCTGTGGAGATGTGACAAAATTCAAGGATACACCACACCATTCAACTCTTTTCATATAGTTCCATTGGTTTCCTCTATTTGAAAGGTCCGTTCCAAGGCAAACAAACCGAACTCCGGTTTCCACTCAAAGCATTAGCATTGATCCCAGAATTGGAGAAAAGCGAGAGTAAGCCCTTGAAATTGGCAAATCCATTGCTTCACTTTAGCTAACGCCAGTGAAAGTTGCCTTCATCTTTTGGGGATCCGAACTTCTTTGCCCTCAGTTCGCCAATTCGAGCACCTAGAGCACACGGTGCTGGAGAACAGATCCCCCGTTGAACAAACCCAAATGGGTGGAGAATAGGTATGTAACATATGTAATCCTTTCCCCACGAAATAGTTGCGCTGGATCAAGTTAGACAGTGCAAATGACCATACTCATGGAGTCCAACAGGTTGCGACCGGACCCATAAACTACATCTATAGGACTATGGGATAACATATCCATCTGGGGTGGGTTGGTTCAAGTCTGTTTGCATAAATCCCAACATGTTTCGTTTGTCAAATTCGTTCAGGTTCTTTGATTGAATCATGTCCACCCATTTTTGCTGGGTTGAATTCGCCCATTTTCTAAGAGTACGTTGGGTAGAGCCTTTGTTGTTGGTGAAATTCAGCCATGTTTCTTGGCTATGTACGTTCTCATTTGGCTGGTCGCATCAATCTAAAATACTAATTGGTTCACATCGCCAAGTATGATATAAAATCCTATTGCCTGATCATACAAACACCCATATCTGAGACTTCAAAATGAACAAATCACTACATCCCACGAAAGTTTCTAGAGGTCTTTATCAATGTGGTAAACCCAATAATAAGACATGTAGAAATTCTACTTGACCTTCAATAAGAGAAGTCATTGAAAATGAAAGGAGGAAAGAAACAATTGAATCAGCTAATATAGAACACATTATAATGCGTAATCATTGCAAAGAAATGGTGATATAGTAATAGTAATGGTCATGATAATTAGATTTTCTTGTTGGGTATACCATATCACTAGGTGAAGAGATAAGTCTCACATCTGTGCTCCCTTGCTTACAGCAAACGTAGATGATGGCCATGGCATCACTGACGATGGTCTCTGAAAGACGGTAGTAGACTGCCTCGGCATTGGATCGTCGGGGTATTCCAACACCAGTAATATGAAGAATAATAAATATAGCCCTAAATATAATAACTAAAAGTATAAATATGAACATAAACGTATTTATGAATATGAATATACATATACATATACATATAAATATACATATACATATACATATAAATATACATACAAATATAAATGTTGATACAAATCTAAATATAGATATAAATAGAAATAGAAACATAATGACAAATACAAATATGAACACAAATATTATATATGTATATATATATATGTATTTACAAGCAAATATACAAATATAAGTATAAATACGAATACAAATACACATACAAATATAAATATAAGTATAGATGCATATATATATATACATACAAATATATATATATATAAGTACATATATACATTTATAATATAAATATGTACATAGATATAGATACTACTATAAATATATATACTGTAAATATAGATAATAATGTAAATGTAAATATAACTAATATAAATATAAATATATAAATATACAAATATATAAATATATAAATATATAAATATATAAATATATATATATATATGTTGACTTTCCCCTTACGGTGCCAAGCAAGAAGTGAAGCTGGTGCGGCACGCATTCTTTTGTCCATCACCCATGAAAGCTCAAGAGGTCTGCAGCTGCCGCAAATCCATGGAGGCATCGAAGGTGCCACAGCGCTGCATCATGTCCAAGTAGTAGGCCAAGGGCCTGCACAGGGCCGAAGGAGCAGCAGGTGGATGGGCACAATTTGCCTCCTGGAAGCAGCTGAAGGCGCACCACTTGCAAGGCAAAGAAGGCAGCTCTGCTGAGGGCGGGTGGCAGAGGGGAGCCAAGATGTCTCAAGCACCAAGGACACGTAAACATCCAGAGCATGTTGACTTTCCCCTTACGGTGCCAAGCAAGAAGTGAAGCTGGTGCGGCACGCATTCTTTTGTCCATCACCCATGAAAGCTCAAGAGGTCTGCAGCTGCCGCAAATCCATGGAGGCATCGAAGGTGCCACAGCGCTGCATCATGTCCAAGTAGTAGGCCTGCACAGGGCCGAAGGAGCAGCAGGTGGATGGGCACAATTTGCCTCCTGGAAGCAGCTGAAGGCGCACCACCATCTTTAGCAGGATCGGGACAAGCAGGTGCGAAGTTCGTGTACCACTAAGGCGTGGCGTTTGTGTTTACCCTGCTAATGGGCACACACCAGCGGTCAAAAATGCAAACGTAGCAGCAAAGGTCTGAATGCAGCTTCTGACCTGTGAAGGGAGCTTTGCCAGCAAGTTGAGGGCAGCGACTTCCTGCAAGTAGCTTTCCAAAGTTGTCTGCGACCTTAAACGAAGCAGCCACAAAAGGTCAGCTATGGCTTTGCCATTCTTGTAGTGGTATACTGCAGCTCCACCACGTAACCCTCCAGGAGTAAGCTTGAAGTCCCGCTGAATGCCAAATTTTTTTCAAGGAGGAGATCCCATCTCTTCCTATATTGATATGGCGTAGCACCAAAAAGAGGTGCTTCCAGTGGTAAATTCTTGAAAATCACTGTGAGGATTCGCGAGGCAGTTGCGTCAACCACTTTCATGTGTTGCACCTTGGCAGGTTGGCGGGTTTGAGATTTGAAACTGCGAAGTCGCAGAAAAACAGGTGCGCCCGTGGGTTCCAGCACATCACATGGGAGCACGAGGTCCTCACGGGAACATCTCAGAATCTCGCCCAAACGCCCAGCACCATAAAAAGCGAGGACTGTTGCACCAACCCAGCTGTACCATTGCAAGTGCCAAGCTAAAGCACACATCGCTGTCACCAGTGTTTCTGGTATGGGCGTCCGATGGTTTACGGGACTCAAAGCTTCCCATCTCTCCACCATTTCCCAAGCAGGTACCATGTAGACCCTGGAGCTGGGAATCCAGCGTTGTGCCGCCAACACCAAATGCCTGTAGTTGCTCAAGGCACCACCATTTCTGAACATGAACTCGGCATATGACTTGAGCGCCCAAGGTAAGAACTGCGGTACTGTAGCAAAGAGGGCTTCAACATCAGCTCCAGGCAGAAACTTTGCACACCATCGTCTAAAGCTTTCCAGTTGTCGCGCCTCCAGGGCTAAGGTCTGTGGTGTTAACAGCTGCACATCTGAAAGGGCTCCCAGGCGCACAGGAGCATTTCTTCTTCGTGGTCCTGGGCATGAAGCTTCCCCAGCTCGCGCAACGAGCCTGTTTTTGAGCATCCTGCCACATCCAGCTTCTCAGCCTTGCACTTACTGGCTGTAAACGTCATGCTTTTCCACCATGGGGCATCGAAAAAGCTGAAGGAATGCCTGGACCCGTGCTGAGGCCACAAAAGCCGCCTGCTCTTCCAGCGCCTTTGGCTCAGCCACCAAATTCTGCCGGATTCCGCAAGGGAGTAGGCACCTTCTACTGACTCAGCTCCCTCAACAGCAGCCCAAACGAAACCACTGTGACAGTTGTCACCAAAGACCTCAAGGCGAGACCCACGTGCCCCCCTCTTGCAGTGTGCTGGGCTCAAAGCTTGAGGAGTCTTCGATTCATGCTGTTTCCCATCAACAGAGTAAAGCGAGGCATTGAAGTAAAAGCTGTTGCAGAAAACATTCTTGCTACCTTGCATTGCTCTCCAGACTTCGCTCTGCTGAGCGGCCATAGTTTTGGGGCAAAAGTCAAAAGGCCAGCATGTAACACAGAACGGAAGGTGCAGTTTGCCACAAAAAGCTCCCAAAGTACGCATCCACACATCAGCAGTCAAAAAGTAACCTTGGGTAAAATCATAGGCTCGGCTAAGTCTTCCCATGACAGTCCCAAAGGGCTCAGACTCCTGAGTTGGTGCATCACAGCTGTTGGGCGCAAGGCTGAGGTGCTTCAAGAAAAAGACAGCTCCAGCGCCAAGGGCAAAGGGCAGAGCCGGGAGTACAACTGCATCCAGCTCCAAAGGAAAAGCACTTCCTTCTGCAAAGACACCAAGGGCAACATCCCTGTCATCTTCAGCCAAGCTCGAAGCGCCGTGCAAAAAGTTGGCAGATCTCCTTTCGTCGGTCGGAAACTGCAGCGCACAGACACAAAAATGCTGCAAACTACGAATTCTCCCATGCCAGCACGCACGGAAGGTGAAAGCTTTGGCCATGACTTCCCGGAAGGGAATGCAACAGTACTTCTGATAGGGGACTCCACTTTCAGGGTCCTCCCGGCAGCGTGCATAAATTAGCGCTCTTCCAGAACGCAGCAACATGGTCCAGTTGCCACGCCAGAGGTTCCGCGTTGCAACTCCCGCAGCATCAGCAGAGACAGTTTGGGCAGAGACTCCCGCCATAGCTGTAAAACTTGCGACAATGGATGCTACAAAACTTCCAAACTTTGCCCACAAGTTCACAACCAGAAAAGAAGCCATTGCTGCCAAGGCCATCAGCACTAACTTCAAGACAACTGATATCCCGATGACCCTGAGCGGCCTGCAGTTCATGGAAGGGGTCTCAGCAAGTAAGCACATGCAGGCATAGTATCTGCTTGTCACTCCCAACATTGATTCCCACGTTCCTGCAGAGGCCATAAACGTGCCAACCTCACTGAGCTCCATGAAACATGCCCAGAAGGTGATCATCATCGCAGGCGACTTCATCATCTGCAAAGCTCTAAAAACTCCCGAGTCGCTGTCGATGTCAATGCACCAGAGGTCGGAGCAAAGCGAGCTACCGAAGGTCTTTTTGGAGTCGTTCACAAGCCCTGCCGCTTCATAGGCTACCAATAGCCTGTACTCCTCGGCGTAAGGTTGTGCCGAAGCTGCAGCACTGGCCATAACTTGTCTCCCACTTTGCTGCCCTCGAACAGCCACTTCTGCGGGCCAGCCAAACCACACCGTCCAGACGCTGCACTCAGCGCACCTGCTTGTTGCCGTGCCATGGCTTCCCCTCTCTCCCTTACGCAGACTTCCACCAGCATGGGAGCAAACAAAAACGTGCACCGCCACTACTGCCATGAAAAGAGCATCAAGGTAAGCTTCGTACCCCTCAAAGTTGAAAGAGAAGAGCCCCATCCCGGCAGCCATGACGAATTGAAGAGTTGTACCATCAACCACCAAGTGCTCAAGCATTCTAGCCACGTGCCATTGTCTCGCTAAAGGCAGGGTGCCCAAGCTGGGGTAAGCAGGCACGCCCCAAATGGGCGAAAACCAGCAAAACAGCACCATCAGTACAGACACCAACCACTTCGTGCTGGCATCAGGAACAAAATGGCCCCCAGCACTTGACACTCCGCAAGGGGGAAGCGGCATGGGCCACGCGACACTAGGTGGTGACGTGGTGCATGAACTGCAACGGGGCATCATAACGATGGACTGCAAAAAACCTTGGAGGCCACACCACATTCAGTAGCCAACGAGGCATCGAATTCAAAAAGAGAGCGAGGACCCTAACTGTAGCAGCCCCTGAGCCTGGCAACGATTGCACCATGCCGAGCCGAGGGGCCATGCATGCACCTCCACTTTCCACATCTATGGGTCTGTGGAGCTTCCCGCTCCTTGGCTCTTTGGCTTGGCCTTTGGCTTTGCCTTCCGCTTTGAGTCGGCATCGTATGACTCGTCTGCATTGGTTTCTTTCCCAGTTCTGCCATACTGCTTGTTCAGGTTCTTCCGCTTGGTGAGGTAATCCTCGGTATCTTTGAGATGAGCCAAAGCGACCTCTTGCCACCTGCTGTCCAAGAGCTTGCTGTACGGAGGCTCTCCGTCCGTCACCGATGGAGGCTGGTGCATTGCCAGGTTCGAGAAAGGTGGAGCAGGTTCCAAGGCGAGCTCCGCTGCTAAAGTCCAGTTCCCCTTGTCTATCGAAGCCTGGTCCAGCATCAATAGGAGCACTGCCGCACGGGCTCGAGCTTTCTTCACATTCCCCTGAATCAGCGAATCGAGAATGCCAGCCGTGCTCCAAGCAGCATATGCCGAAGAGCGGTAGGCTCCGATTTTTGATCTGAACTCGACCCAAGCCCGGGCACAAAGATGCGGGACTGGCATCCCTGGGGCCACCGTAGCGGAGTGCAAATCTTCCAACATCAACTTCTCGATCATTGACGAGATCTCCTCTGGAGCATTTTCGTAGGCTGCACGTAGGGCCCTCCTGGCTGATGCAGCTTTCTTCCCGGTTCCTTGTAGAGGAGGTTCTGCTGAGGTCGCAAGTCCCCCTTCCAAGGCAAGCTCGAGCTTTGAAGTCGACGCTTTCTTCACCTTGTCGTCCGTGAGAATCTGCATCAGCGACGTCAACTTTGTAAGGGAGGCCGCAACAGGATCTTGAGAATCCAAACCAGACTCGTCGGCGACGTTCTGATCGTAGAGGTCGCCGACTTCCTCTTCTGACAAGGGGTCGGGCTGCACCATTGGACTCATGTCCTTCACCTTAGTCACCTTTTTCCCCTGGCCTATCAAAGCCTGCATCTGCTCCAGATTTTCCTGGGACACTCCTGCCTGAAGAGCTGCTGTCACTACTCCAGGATCGAGAATAGGGAAAGCAGCAGCCGCATCTGCAAACGTCACTGCTGATGCAGAAGGCTTGGAGGCCTTTGGTTTTGCTGTAGCCTTGAGGACTGGCTTCGGCTTCATCGCCGCTGCGCCCTTGGTCAACTTCTTCATCTCGTTCAGGACCTCGACCATCGTCTGCTCCACTCTCGAGACCCTCTGATCCATCATTCGCAGCGAATGAGCTGGAGAACCAACATCTGCTTCGTCCATGGGAGCACCATCGATGTCGTCTCCTGTGATGCTGGGATCCGTAGTTCCCCCATCGGCAGAGAAAAAGGCGAAGTGCTCGTTGGCAACATCCACCAGTGCTTGCGCCATGGGGAGCAAGAAGAAACCCGTTGTGTCGTCGAAGGAGTACTCGACATCGAACTCCTCCAGTACCTCGATGTGCTCCCTGGCAGCAGGCTTGAGAAAACCAATCCATACCTTCAAGGTACTATCTCTGTACTGCTCTGCAAGGTTGGAAGGGAGAGCAGCCGCCACCTCGACAAGCGTCGGCTTGTGCAGGCTCCTCGAAGGGAAAATGCGTAGAGCCACCGTTCTATGCCAAACAGCGGAAGGAATCGCCACCAGCAACTGGCCGCTGAACTCACCAATCTGAATTAACTGCAAAGTCGGGACGTTGGTGTCAAGGTCCACCACAAAAAGTCCCACTGGATAGTCTGAATTCACCGCACCCTCTTCAACGATGTAGGGTGCCCTGTCCGACGGCCAAGCAGGCTGTCGGAAGCAGCTCATGCCTCAATCACTGAAGGCCAGGTGAGCTGTGCTGCCTGCACTACCCTCCTGGCTTCTCGCTCCGAGGGAAGCCCCACGAAGACACTGTCTCCACACTCGTGGTTCGTCGGCTGGCAGAGCAACTTGCAGCTCGTCCACGATCGCACCACTTTCACCGGAGTGTAGATCTGCCCTGCGTAATCTCTCACGATTACCCAGATGCGAGGGAAGCGGGATTTTGTCTCTGCCGCTCGCCCCCCGATGTCCACCACTAATGCTCCGAGCCAGAAACCTGCCAATCTGATCGCAGATCTCCTCCCTCTCAAGCCAGGACAAAGTTGCCGTCGAAGGCGTAGGAGCCACCGAAGGCGTCACCGAAGATACTGCAGGTCCGGGCACAAAGGGTCGCTGCTCGGGTGATCTCGGCTCTTCACTGGTTGAATACCCTGACGAGCTGCGTCTCTGAACCAGCCTATCCAGCGACTGCGAGGTAGACCTCGAATCACTCACTTGATCTTCTCCTCCGTGGACAGAGGATTGAAGATCTTTCACCACTTTCCAAAGCTGCTTGATCTGCGCTCGCAGATGGGCCACCTCGTCTTGGAGCTCTATGACGACGTCCTCCAAGGCGTGGTCTCTGCGCATCAACACAGTTTGTACAGTGATTTTCCCAAGCTGCGAGGCCTGCAAGGCCTTTCAGGATCCCGTAGGCGCTCAGCCCACTTCAAACCAAACCTCCAGGAGCAGGTAGATCAGGATCCCACAGCAGAGTCCTAAGACAAAGCTGACGCCGTCCAGGCGCCACGAGGCCAGGGCCGACAAGTCAGCGCGGTCGGCCCAGGTCAGCAGCTTATATGCTACGGCAAGGGAACTTCCGGTGCCCAAACCGTTGGTGAGCCCATGCATGAGCCAAGATGTCTCAAGCACCAAGGACACGTAAACTTGAGGCCGGGGGTGGATGACGAAAGCTAGCGGGGTAGGAGAAAGAAGGAAGGGAAGAGGTGAGTTGCGGAGGGACTGTCATCATCGTGTCGCGGCATTGTTCGTCCCAACGAGGATGCAACAATGATATATTGATATATGATATATAACAATGATATATATGGGGGAGGGGGCAGGGGGGGGCCCTTTCGCGGGAAAAAATCACGTGATGTCCTTGGGGAGCCCCGGAATACGTGCTAAAGCAAGAAGACTCTAGCGAGCTGACGCTAGCTTTCGTGATAATGACAATAATTGCCAATAATGATAAAATGTAATTGAATAACGATGATGATGATGATGATGATGATGATGAATGATGAATGATGAATGATGATGAATGATGAATGATGAATGATGAATGATGAATGATGAATGATGAATGATGAATGATGAATGATGATGATGATGATGATGATGATGACGAGGACGCGGACGAGGACGATGGAGAGGACGATGACGATGATGATGACGATGATGATGACGATGATGATAGATAGATAGATAGATAGATAGATAGATAGATAGATAGATAGATAGATAGATAGATAGATAGATAGTAGATAGATAGATAGATAGATAGATAGATAGATAGATAGATAGATAGATAGATAGATAGATAGATAGATAGATAGATAGATAGATAGATAGATAGATAGATAGATAGATAGATAGATAGATAGATAGATAGATAGATAGATAGATAGATAGATAGATAGATAGATAGATAGATAGATAGATAGATAGATAGATAGATAGATAGATAAATAGATAGATAGATAGATAGATAGATAGATAAATAATGATGATGATGACGAGGATGCTGATGATGATGATGATGACGATGATGATGACGATGACGATGACGATGACGATGACGAGGACGACGATGATGACGATGATGATGATGATGATGATGACGAGGACGCGGACGAGGACGAGGACGAGGACGATGGAGAGGACGATGACGATGATGATGACGATGATGATGACGATGATGATGACGATGATGATGACGATGATGATGATGATGATGGTGGTGATGGTGGTGGTGGTGGGGGAGGGGGGGGGGGGCCCTTTCGCGTGAAAAATCACGTGATGTCCTTGAGCAGCCCCCCCAATACTTGCTAAAGCAAGAAGACTCCAGCTAGCTGACGCTAGCTTTCGTGACATCCAGAGCATATAATAAATATATAAATATATAAATACCAAGACTTAATCCTTCAGTTTCTGACAATTTCATAGACGAAATGGCGTGCAGCAAATATCGCAGTCTCGGCCACTGCTCATCTTCCCAATCAACACAAGACATGCAAAGCCCGAGGACGGTGCTTGGTTATGCCCACAGGCATGGCACTCGTAGTCGTAAACCTTCATGGGAAGAGAACTTGAAAATGAAAGGATAGTCAGACCCTTTCTAAACTGGGGCCGATGCCACTATATAAGAAGAATTTCAATGGAGAAGATGCAAGACTGAAACAAGTCAAGAAGTTTTTGCCATTCTACACTCTTCAAAGTTTGCAAATGTTGTTGATTTCGGAAAAAAGAAAGTAACTTGTGAACAAAAGTGAAGTCCCATTTCAAAAACCCATTCAACATGGCTCTGACCCTGGGAAGAGTGGGGTCGTGAATCACGTCGGGCATGACGATAATCGACTCCTAGCAAGGTCATTCAAAGCTGCTTGATCATGCACAGAGGGAAAACAAAAGACATTTAACCGATCCAACCTCTAAAAATGCAATAACGCAGCATCCAACCATCATCGACCATCTTCCCCATCCTCCATCCCATCATCATGTCCCAACAGCACATCTACAACAACGCCACGATTGTTTCCAACTGTTCACCCTGTGTTGTCCTTCGCCACAAAGAGAACATCGTGTCTGAAGACGCAAAGATCTTCGATTTTCTTCGGATTGCCAGACTCATCTGTTTCGGCATCCATTGACACAACCTCACACCGCCGCAACCAGAATATATCGGGGGGATGAATAGCGGGTTCACCTTGGAATCCCTTGGTTTGCAGCCACCAAGATAGCTGGATAGCTGGTAAGTGTGGATGGATGATGATGGATGTTCAACCCTTACATGAACTGATGTTGAAAAACAGGTGGCTTGACCCAGCAGTCATATTGGCAAATGGACCAAAGTCTCCAACCACACAACATGAGTTCCAGCCTCAACTTTAGAGCACACTTTGCACGTGAAGACCAGCTCCTGTGCATTGATTTCACACATGTCTTGTGGCCAACACAGAAATGCGTGTGTATTTTACCAGGTCAGCCAACAATAGTTACAATAACTAGTGGGGCAAGAACAAACCGGTAAGCACTCAGCTCTTTTGAACCAACGCTACAGAGTAGATCGATGATATATACACTACATGGTTTTACTGCAGGAGTTTTTACACCCCCCTCGGGCGAGCAGGGACGACTGCGGAGAACGAATAACCCAGAAGAGCATACCCTCGCGGGTAGCCAAATTTCTTTAGTTGGTTTTGATCATTTTTATGCAGTCTTTCAAAGGTCCCTATAAAAAGCTCAAGCCCGTAAAACCCAGCGCAGCTTTGCAAGGAAGGCACATTACCATGCCGCATCTTGCGCTATGCTACAAAAGAAAATCATCGTCTACCTGCGGTTCCAATAGATCCACCGGCCGCCGGCCTCGTCACGGTAATACCAAGCCCCACGCCAGAAACTCCATTCTCGGCGTGCACCATAGTGATCACGATTCCAACTCCAGGAGGCATCCGGGCGACCGGAGCTTGCAGCCTTTGATGTGACTCCTTTGCTTGCTGCTTTTGCAGTGGGCGGTGTCTCAGGCTCCAAGAATGGTCGCGCTCCTGCTTTGGGTGTTGGTGGTTCGGGTGCAAGAAATGGTGCATTGTTGGGGTCAACTGGGGCATCAGCGTGCGAGGCATCTGCGCGAGCAGAGCTTGAGGCGGCAGTGTCATCATGTGTGGTGACGGATGCATCAGCTTCGGCTTTGCGTTTTCGCTCAGTGGTGGGCGCGACCGTGGGGTCGGCCTTATGACCTCCAGGACCTCCAGCCTTTGCAGCGGCGCTCTGCTTCTCTTTGCGTTCAAGGTTTCCCCGAACCAATGGAAGATTTTCCTCATACACCTTTTCGAGGAATTCAAGAGTGCCATCAAAAGGAACTTGGACAGTGCCCTTCCAGGTCAAAAGGCCACGGAATGCGCCACGACGACCGATGTAGCTGACATATTCATCCTCTGTAAAAATGTGGCGGCCGAACATGAATCCCCAGACCTTCTTCCATGTTTTGCGGAACTCAACTGGGAAACCATCAACACCTCGAGGCTGGGACATGAAAATCAACTTAGATAAGCAGTTTTCATTTTGGGCATTGGCGGCGACGCCAGCCGAGATCTGAGCTTTGGTCCTTGGGGGATCGGGGAGGTTGCCATATGCGAACATGTCGTCGAATATGCAGTCCTGCAGGTCCTTCCCCTCACCGTGGATGCGGTCGCAAAAAGTGACGTCGCTGGAGTATCTGTCTTCCACGTCCTCGTAGCCCAGCGCTTTTGCACGTCGATGCCTGTCGCGGCAGTCTTTGAGGACTGCTGATTCCACGGATGTGATTCCCCTGGGGCCCAGTTCCCGGCGAAGCAGATTGGCTTGCTCATCCGTCAAGGCTGTCAGCAAGCTTCCGCTCATTTTCCCAAACATTCCGAACCCGGCGAGACTTTGCATTCGCCGTTCAAGGATGCGTGTCCTCCTGTTGGGTTTGTCGGCCTCTTTTGTATCACCACTTTCGTCCACTGGGAGTGGTTCATATCCACATATGGTGCATGTCACTTGGCCACTGACGTACTCAACCTGGCAGAGGGGGCAGGAGCCCATGAAAGGTTCGCAGTACTTGGGTGCAATGTAAACACGGCGCGTCCTTGCGGGCGGCTGGTCAACTTGCATTGGGGCAGTGGCTGCATCATCATCAGTGGACTTGGCATCGGGTCGCCCCGTGCTGGTGTCATCCATTGGGTCGTCATTTGCATCATCTCGGGCAGTCAGGGTGACCGCTTTGGATTTCGGTGCTGAGGCTGATTCCGCGCCTGTCCATGAGCTGGGCTCGAGATTGCTCTCGGCGCGGGTCCAAAGCACCTGTCCTTCTTCTGAGATGCTGACCAGAAACTGCGGTGGAATGCGTTCTGAACACAAAATACCATCCATTTCTGTGCGACTAAAGATGACACCAGCTTCAACTGCTTGCCGCATTGCGATTTTGACTTCGATTGGACATTTTGCTCTTAATCCAGATCGATACCCCTGTGTGCCGATACAGTGTTCTGCCATGTAGATATGAGCACGGCCACTGTTGACTGTGTCACCGCCACCTGGGATCAGGCCGTTCTGTGCGATGCTCTTCCAGCTGCTTCTCATCGTGCGATGGAAGACAACCTCAGGGACCTCAGTCATGGCACACAGGGGCACGCCAGTGAAGGCGGCTTTTCGCTCGGGGGATACTTGGTTTGAGCAATACACCATGGTTGAATTGGCATAAAGACCCCCTGCGGTTTTCAAGGCAGCTTCGGAGTGACCCTGAATTGCACGGATTTTCACAGGATAATAAGGCATGCCTAGGCCATTGTCGACAGGAAAATGGGAGATCTTTGCACACAAGAATTGGAACCTACTCTTGCCATGCTTGTCGATCTTCATTGCGGTGCCAAACAGGTTTGCGACAGTGATGAAAACATCTGGGGGCACTTCCTTGCGGAAGGCTTTGGCAAAATCCTCCAAGTCAATCCAAAGGTCTTTGTCCATTGGCACCTTGGCACAGGATCCATGCCCCCTGCAAACTTTGTTGACACGAGTTGCAAAATCAGAAAATTTCTTGTCGACACGAGTCTGGCCAGCAATGGTCTCAACGTCGGATGCCGATATCAGCTCCAGCTCATACGCCGTACCTTCAAAGAGGATACCGGGCACATCGTCCCCGTCTGCATTGGTCACCATTGTATATTGGTATTCAGGCAAATGCTCTTCCATCCAATATGCTTTCACGTGGCCAGATGCATGTCCCTCTAAGCGCGCAGTTGCCTGCGGCTGGTACTGGCTGGATGTGGCTCTCTTGTCATCTGCGGGCTCATCCAATGGTGCTGGTGCTGCTTTCGGCCGCGACTTCAACATGACCTCAGCCGTTTGGACCAGGATTGTTGCTCTGCTGGATGCAGCGGGCTCGCCGTCGCCGGCGGCCTTTGGAGGGTCATCTTTGGGAGGCTCAGCAAACGTGCCCGAAGGCATCGTCTTGGTGTCGATGTAGTCCTCAGCGTCAGGTTGTTGAGCTTCGACGTCCTCCTTGGTGAATGACCTGCCCGTCGGCGTGATGTGTCTTCGGGACTCTCCAAAAAGTAACTTGGTGATGTTTGCACATGTCTCCTGATAGGATCTTGGCAGCTCGTCCAGGACGGCGCTCATGTTCCTCCGCAAATCATCCCATGTCTCCTGGCCACACTGAGCAAGCTCCAAACCAATTCGGCCAACCCGCCATCCGCAATCAATTGCGAAAAGGGTAGCTGTCCAATAGGCAGCAAGACGCGTGCGATTTTCTTCAGAGTTGGCGAAATGCCACTGGTCTCTGAATTCCATTGCATCGGCGTACCCCTTTGCTTTCAGCCACGGATACTTCGGATTGGCAAGCCCTTGCGGGCTGCTGGTTAGAGCTTTAAATCGGGGCTCCAAAACATCAAAGAACTGGTCAAAGATAGGATGGATGCCGTAATCTGCACTCCAAGGCGCGGTCGTGAGACCGGCCGACTGCAAATCCAACTCCCGGGCCTTGTTGACAAACCATGTCAAGTGGCGCTCACAATCATCCAGGATCGTGGGCCAGTGCCCGTTGGGGCCGTCGTACGGCCAATTTGGATTTTGGGCGATCCCATCCTCTCCTACCAATTCATTTCCGAACCAGGACAAATGCAGGTTGATGCGTGCATCAGGATAGCGCTCGCGGGCGTCCGCGGCCAATTCAATCCCACGCTTGACCAGCTTCTGCAGAGTCTTACCCCAGAGCATCTCATGGATGAACTCAGTCACATACTTAGGCTTGCGCTGCCGGTAATGCTCGGACAGGTCAAACTTCTTAAGTGTTTTCCTACGCCCTGTGATCAGTGCACATGACGAGTCAGAGACTAAGATCCAGATTACATCATTGACGGGCATCTCTGGCAACATGATCTTTTCAATGTGGGACTCCTTTGGCAAAAAGCAGAAGCTAAGATATTCTGCAAGCGGATCCTCTCGACCGTAGAACCTCAGGGCCGAAGCCGGCGTCCATTCAGTCATCAGTCCATCCACGAGGTCCTGAGCAGCCTGATTCTCACCTTCATTGCGCATGGCCAATGCAAACAAAATGCGATTGTGAAGGAGCAACCATGCTTCTTTGTTAGCCTCACGTGTGGCTTCGAGCGCAGCCTCGCGGCTGGCCGGGTGTGCTGTGGCATATCGCGAGTCAGCCATTTTAGCAGGACAGGCACGAATGACAGCGGGTGAAATCCTTTTGGATGTTTGGCCCACCACAGCTACCCGGAAACACTCATGGAGCATGTCAGTCAACTTGAAGGTATAGTTCTCAGCAAGTTTAAGAGCTTTGCCCCTACTTTGATCATGCTCATGTTTGCCATCACATTTGAATGAGTCTAACACTTCGAGTTCTTTGAAGTTTCCTGCAATAGTCCAACTTTTCTTCATTGGTTGACCGTTGTTTCCAAGAACACCCAACATACAACCATCAAAGTGATGAGTAGTCATGGATCGTTCTATGAGGAATTTTCTAACCATCGGCCATCTCCAATATTTGCAATTCTTGGACAGTTCAAATGCTATCAAGGTTCGTTCATCACAAACTTCATCCACAAGTTTGACATAAGATTTGAACAACTTGGTAAACTGTTTTTGTTGCTCTTTGATTCTTTCTTGACCCTCAACAGTAAGGCCATTAACATTCCCCCATGGGCTACCTCCAACACAAGGCAACGATGCATAGAGTATCAAAGTGCCGTCATTGAAATCATTTCTGAAATCTTGGACTTGGGAGGCTAGCCGTTGCCGACAGCTGTTAGTGGTACCATCTTCTTTTTCGGTAACCCTAATGCAGTGGCAACCTTCATTGGACTTTCTTGGGGTACTAAGTTTCGAATCATCAGAGCAGCAAAATTCGATCAACATTCTGGGCTTAAAAGACTTTTGGGAGCCCCC